TTCTTCTTGCTTGTAGGGTTTGGGGAGCGTCTAGACGACTGACATATGTAATTTGATTCCGGGCTCGTATTGTGCGGGGCTAGTGACTGCCCTAGAGGTTTGTCGTATGCCCTCCGCTTCCTTGTTCCTGTGATGTAGTAGGGGCCTACAGGTTTGTCGTGTGTCCCCTTTCTTGGCATATAGATGATTGTCATAAGTCATTTGCTTCTGAGGTTTTTTTTTGGTCCCCTCCCTTCGTCCCTTCGTGTTGTAAGGGTTTCGTGAGCGCTCTGGAGGTTTTTCGTATGTCCCCTTTGTTCGTGCTTGCAGGGTTTGGGGAGTGTCTAGATGATTATCACATATCGTTTGCTTCCGCAGTCGCTATGAGGGTATTGATTGCCCTAAAGATTCTCGTGTGTCCCCCGCTTCGTATTCCTGTGATTTGGTAGGGGTCTAGAGGTTTGCCGTAATTCCTCTCCCTTCGTTCCTTCGTGGGATGTTTGCGTGTGTCCCCTTTCTTCGTGCTTGTAGGGTTTGGGGAGCCTAGACGACTGATATATACATATATATATATATGGTACCCCCCCCCCCGGTGACCTACCCTTCTTCGCCTTGTCTCAAGTCACCCAGCTGCACTGCAAGCAAACTCGGTGTGCAATATAGCGTATTTCTAGGGCGTAGACTAAAATACAACAAAAATCGCATACACGGGACAGTAGAAAAACCAAAAATACCAAAACCAAAAAAAAAACAAAAAACAAAACCAAAAAAAAACAAAACAACCAAAACCAAAAAAAACCAAAAAAACAAAACCAAAAAAACCAAAAACACCACAAAAAACACTTCTCTGGGACTCTCAGGAATCCCTATGGGGCTTCTCCAAGAGTCCCGGAAAATTGTTTTTTTTTGGGTTTTTTTTTTTTGGTTTTTTGGTTTTGTTTTTTTTTTGGTTTTTTTGGTTTTGGTATTTTTGGTTTTTTGGTTTTGGTATTTTGGCTTTTTGGTTCGCCTTCACGGTCACGAGGCAACAACTACACATTTTTCAGTGTGCTTATGCTAATTGTGCTTTTCAGAAATAGTATACAAGTGGTCTTTCTAGTGCTTCAGAACTATTTGTTTCGTTATTACGTAAGTAGAGCCGCTAGTGTTTAGTGCATCTTTTGGTTGTACTCAAGTGTAGTAGACCTTATTCAGCCATTACTTGGTGCTCTGGTAGCTAAATTCGCATGGATAATATTTGCCTGGTAAATGCGATTAATTATCTAGAAGCAGCATTTGCAATACTCGGCTTGAGGAAAAGCATTTATTGCTTAGAATTGTTTGGTTAAAAAGTGACTCCTACTCGTCCAGGGATACCCCAAAACCCTATAATCCAAACTTCACCAGAGATTCTCCTGAAAAGCTTGCGCTTTTGGATGTTTTTATGTATTTGTGAACTGGCCTTCACTAAGTAGTTTTCTAGGATTCTTGTGCATTTGTTAAGCCTGATTGTGCAAGTTGCGTTTTTCAAGCATAGTATATATGTGGTCTTTATTGAATACTTCAGACATGTTTGTTTCATCGTTATGTAAGTAGAACCGCTTCTATTTCCATTATTGTGCATTTTTAAGCTTGCTTATGCAAATTGTGCTTTTCAGACATAGTATATAAGTGGTCTTTATTGAATACTTCAGCAATTTTTGTCTCATTGTTATGCAGGTAGAACCGCTTCCATTTCCGTTAGTGTTTATTTCGTATTGGGTTGAGTATGGTCCTTTAAATAGTATTCACTTGGGTCAAATTGGGCTATTTGCTTAAGAATTCCTCTAGTAGTTAAATTCGCATAGAATGAATACTTCAAAAAAAGGATTGTTTCATGAATATGTAAACATAAGGTGTTTCATTTGACTTTGCAGATAGTATTTCAATAATACTTTGCCTGGTATAAACACAACTGTTTCAATGCATGAGTTGCTCAACAAAGCACTATTTGCCCTTTAAACCACACTTTGCCATAATTTTTTTTGTTGAATATGGTGCTTCTTTCGTATTTTGGTTGAGTATGGTCCTTTAAATGGTATTCACTTGAGTCAAATTGGGCTATTTGCTTAATAATTGCTCGAGTAGCTAAATTCGCATAAAATGATTATTTCAAAAATAAAAACGATTCATGAATATGTAAACATAAGGTATTTCAGTGGACTTTTCAGAGAGCATACTTTGCCTAGTACAAACACAATTGTATAAATACAGTAGTTGCTCAACAAAGCATTATTTGCACTTTAAACGCACACTTTGCCATATTTTGGTTGAGAATGGTGTCTATTTCGTATCTTGGTTGAGTATGCTCCTTTAAATAGTATTCACTTGAGTCAACTTGGGCTCTTTGCTTAACAATTTCTCCAGTAGTTAAATTCGCATAGAACCAAGAAAAATGTTTCACTATTTGATTAATACTTTGCCTCGTACAAACACACTTGTATAAATAAATTAGTTGCTCAACAAAACATTAATTGCCCTTTAAACGCACAATTTGCATAGAAAGCCACAAATCTAAACATCTAAAGACAGCAATGTCCGCTTCAGATTCAAAATGTAGATTCTTCCAATGCTGGCTTATCGGGGTCTGTGAGGTGGGTGTCCCAGTAACTGTCCTTCAATACCCGGTGATTAACTACGCGACTTTTGGGCCTTCTTTGTTATATTTTGTTAAAAAGGCCTAAAAAGGCCGAAAAAGGGTAGGTCGCTGGGGGGGGGGGGTAGCATATATATATATATATATATAATTCGATTCCGTGCTCGTATTGTGAGGGGCTAGTGATCGCCCTAGAGGTTTGTCGTATGTCCTCCCGATTCTTGTTCCTGAGATTTGGTAGGGGCCTAGAGCTTTGTCGTATGTCCCCTCCTTTCGCCCCTTCGTGTTGTAGGGGTTTTGTTGGGCCTTGAAGGCTTGTCGTGTGTCCCCTTTCTTCGAGCTTGGAGAATTGAGGAGTGTCGAGATGATTACCATACATCATTTGCTTCCGTGCTCGTACTATGTGGGGTTAGTGACTGCCCTAGAGGTTTGTCATATGTCCCCTTCCTTCGTCCCTTCGCGTTGTATGGGTAAGGGTTTTGTGAGGGCCCTGGAGGCTAGTCGTATATCCACTTTCTTCGAGCTTGTAGGGTTTGGGGGGAGCGTCTAGAGTCTAGATGATCGTCATATATGATTTGCTTCCGTGCTCAAACTATGAGGGGCTAGTGGCTGTCCTAGAGGTTTGTCATTTGTCCCCCCCGTTTCCTTGGTCCTGTGATTTGGTAGGGGCTTAGAGGTTTGTCATACGTTCCCTCGCTTCGTCCTTTCGTGTTGCAAGGGTTTTGTGAGAGCCCTGCAAATTTGCCGTGTGTCCCCTTTCTTCTCACTTGTAGGGTTTGGGGAGCGTCTAGACGACTGACATATAATTTGATTCCGTGCTCGTATTGTGAGGGGCTAGTGATTGCCCATGATTGCCCTAGAGGTTTGTCGTATGTCCCCCCGATTCCTGTTCCTGAGATTTGGTAGGGGCTTAGAGCTTTGTCGTATGTCCCCTCCTTTCGCCCCTTCGTGTTGTAGGGGTTTTGTTGGGCCTTGAAGGTTTGTCGTGTGTCCCCTTTCTTCGTGCTTGGAGAGTTTGAGGAGCGTCGAGATGATTACCATACATCATTTGCTTCCGTGCTCGTACTATGTGGGGTTACTGACTGCCCTAGAGGTTTGTCGTATGTCCCCTTCCTTCGTCCCTTCGCGTTGTATGGGTGGTAAGGGTTTTGTGAGGGCCCTGGAGGCTAGTCGTATATCCACTTTCTTCGAGCTTGTAGGGTTTGGGGGAGCGTCTAGAGTCTAGATGATCGTCATATATGATTTGCTTCCGTGCTCAAACTATGAGGGGCTAGTGGCTGTCCTAGAGGTTTGTCATTTGTCCCCCCCGTTTCCTTGGTCCTGTGATTTGGTAGGGGCTTAGAGGTTTGTCATACGTTCCCTCGCTTCGTCCTTTCGTGTTGCAAGGGTTTTGTGAGAGCCCTGCAAATTTGCCGTGTGTCCCCTTTCTTCTCACTTGTAGGGTTTGGGGAGCGTCTAGACGACTGACATATAATTTGATTCCGTGCTCGTATTGTGAGGGGCTAGTGACTGCCCTAGGGGTTTGTCGTATGCCCCCTCCCCCGCTTCCTTGTTCCTGTGATGTAGTAGGGGCCTACAGGTTTGTCGTATGTCCCCTGCCTTCGTCCCTTCGTGTTGTAAGGCTGATAAAATTTTTCTGAGGGCCCTTGGAGATTTGTCGTATGTCCCCACGCTTGGTGTTCCTGAGATTTGGTAGGGGCCAGAGATTTGTCGAATGTCCCCTCCTTTCGTCCCTTCGTGTTGAAATTGCTTTGTTGGGGGAAGGTTTGTCGTATGTCACCTTTCTTTCTTCTTAATCCGAGCATCAGTTTAATTTATACCCCCATATTTAAAGAATTTTTTTTTGGCCGGAAGCCCGCCGGAAGACTACTTTCCATTAGGGTGGATTTCGTATGGGACAAACCCCCCACATTTAAAGGAATTTTTTTTGGGGGGGTTGCAAAATTTCGAAACTAAAGCTTGTTTTTTGCTTCTGCAGGAAAAGATCGATGTGAAACATCCGCTATGGCTGCACCTGCTGCAGCAGGAAGCTTTCACTTCAGGGGCTACACATCAGGGGCTACAGCAAAAGGAGCACCTATGTCTCTGGCTCTGCTGCAGGCTCAGGCTGCACCGGATCTGCAGGGAGGTCCTGCAGGAAGCTTCACTTCGGGGCCCACACTGCAGGGGCTACAGCAAAACAAGCCTGCACCTGTGTCGCTGGCTCTTCAGGCTGCGCCGGATCTGCAGGGAGGTCCTGCAGGAAGCTTCACTTCGGGGGCCACACTTCAGGGGCTACAGCAAAAAGAGCCTGCACCTGTGTCGCCGGCTCTGTTGCTGCAGGCTGCACCGCATCTGCAGGGAGGTCCTGCAGGAAGCTTCACTTCGGGGTCCACACTGCAGGGGCTACAGCAAGACGAGCCTGCACCTGTGTCGCTGGCTCCATGGCTCCATACATGTGCTCCACGTCGAAGCCTTCCTTCTTCAGCCAGTACCTGGTGCGGGGGGGAGCCCTGGTCTTGTTGTCTTTAAAGAAGCCTTGAAGCTTAAAAGGAAAAGCTTTAAGGAAGCCGGGGCTTCGGTTTTCTGGAAGCTGAGGGCCTTCAGAAACCAAGGATTTCTTATGTGATTGCTTACTGGAGGAGAGAAATTTTCATTCTTTCCTGAGCTACCCCTTACGGGCTCTGGCCGGGAAAGGCGGAGTCACATTTATAAAATGGCGCCAGAATTATGGGAAGCCCCGGCCCGCGGGGGGGAGCCCTGGTCTTGTTGTCTTTAAAGAAGCCTTGAAGCTTAAAAGGAAAAGCTTTAAGGAAGCCGGGGCTTCGGTTTTCTGGAAGCTGAGGAAGGATTTCTTATGTGATTGCTTACTGGAGGAGAGAAATTTTCATTCTTTCCTGAGCTACCCCTTACGGGCTCTGGCCGGGAAAGGCGGAGTCACATTTATAAAATGGCACCAGAATTATGGGAAGCCCCGCCGCGGGGGGGAGCCCTGGTCTTGTTGTCTTTAAAGAAGCCTTGAAGCTTAAAAGGAAAAGCTTTAAGGAAGCCGGGGCTTCGGTTTTCTGGAAGCTGAGGGCCTTCAGAAACCAAGGATTTCTTATGTGATTGCTTACTGGAGGAGAGAAATTTTCATTCTTTCCTGAGCTACCCCTTACGGGCTCTGGCCGGGAAAGGCGGAGTCACATTTATAAAATGGCACCAGAATTATGGGAAGCCCCGGCCCGCGGGGGTGAGTTTAGGGTTGACGAAACCCTAATTAAACCCCAAACCCTCAACCCTCAACCCTCAAACCTAAACCCATAGGCGCCTAAACCTTAAACCACTAACCCTAAACCCTCAACCCTAAACCCATAAGCCCCTAAACCCTGAACCACTAACCCTAAACCCTAATTAAACCCGAAACCCTCAACCCTCAAACCTCAACCCATAAGCCCCTAAACCCTAAACCACTATGCCCCAGACCCTAAACCCTCGACCCTACTAAGCTCTAAACCTTTAACCCTGCCGGAGCCTGCATCTCTGCAGAAGGTGAAGTAGTCTTCACAGGCACCTCCAAGGAAGAGACATGAACTGCAGAGAGATGCTGCATGCTCTGAGTGTCTGCATCACCTACAACAAAGAGCTGCCTTTTTCTCATTTGCTGCATGCTCAAAAACTGCATGTTTATCTTTTGCTGCATGCTCAAAAACTGCATGCTCTTGCTCTTCAACACTACTCTGCAAAGATAACCTGCAGAGATAACCTGCACAGGTGGCCTGCAGGTGGCCGATGCCCTGCAGGCCTACAGCACGGCATTCACCAAAGTGCGAGCTGCAGTCTCTTCAGCATTGGCTGCTGGAGTCTGCAGCAGAGACTGCACTTCTGCAAACCGGTCAGTGATCTGCACTACAATGGCCTGCATTCCATGAGCCTGCACGGCTGCAGTCTGCTGCATCTGCACGAACTCTGCGTGAGTCGTGCTCCGCCAAAGCTGAGCTGCAATCTGCAGGGGCCCTCCAGGCGTCTGCAGCCCCCTGATGTTGGAGACTGCATTCAGCAAGGCAGCCTCCTCTGGCTGCAACAGGAGGTCCCTGCACAGGACCAGTTTGACCTCCAAGAGCTGCAACCTCCAATACACTGCCCCATCTGCACGGAGCTGCACTGTTATTTTGCAGGACGACTCCAAGCAAGCCTGCAATCGTCGCTGCAGCCAGATGGCTGCACTCACTTCTGCAGAGTACTGCTGCAGTGCCTGCCCTGCATGGCGGCTGACATCGGACTGCAATCCTGCAGCGCGGTCCTGCCGCATCTCACCTGCAGAAGCTGCAGTGGCGACTGCTGCCATTGCATGCTCAATGCCCTGCAGGCTCTCTTCAATCTTCTCCTGGGCGTTCTGCATGCCCTTCAGGCTGTCTGCAATCGTCTTCTGCATGCTTTCTGCAGCTTTCTCCATGCTTTCTGCAGCTTTCTGCAAGGTCGCTTCAATTCTCTTCACGACATAGAACCCTGCACCGACCATGGCTGCAGCAAATGCTCCAAAGGTGTACAATGCCATCACTGCACTGCACGGGCTGGCTGCTACAAACTGCAACTACACACTGCAATGGGCCTGCAGGCTCTCGGCACATGCAACTCTGCAGCTTGCTGCTGTCTGCACTTTAGGCATCTTCCTAAAATTACCTGCACACTAATTAGCACAACTCTGCAAACTGCACTCCTGGCTGCAAACTACACTCTCCCTCACCCTGCACCCTGGCACCTCTGCCGTGGCTTCTGCATCTTCAAGTGGGCTGTCTGCAGGAACTTCAACCTGCATCGCTTGCTGCTACTCAAAAACAACACTCAGCAACTGCTACCTCTGCTACCTCAGCAACTGCACACCTAATTAGCTGGCAACTTCCTACCTGCACACTCTCCACCAGCACAACTCTGCAAACTGCACTCCGGGCTGCGAACTACACTCCCTCACCCTGCACCCTGGCACCTCTGCTGCGGCTTCTGCATCTTCAAGTGGGATTTCTGCAGGAACTTCAACCTGCATCGTTTGCTGCAACTCCGAGACTGCACTTCAACAACTGCTACCGACACTGCACCTCTGCAACTGCACTCCTAGCTGGCTGCAAACTACACCCCCTAACATCCCCAATTACACCCCTGCACCCCCTCCACCCCCTGCGTGCACCTCTGCAGAGCGAGTCTTCCTGCTCACTCTACGACTCACCTGCAGGGTTCCTGCATCTGCTGCCTCGTGAGGCCTCTTCATGCTGTAAGCCTTCAATGGCTGCAGCGATGGCATCTCTGCAACAGCACTGCTAGCTGCAAACTGCAATGCCTGCACTTGAAGCCTCTGCAAAACTCCACCGTCTGCCCTTGCACCCTCTGCAAAAGCTGCAACATTCCTATTGCTTTTACAGAGAGTCAATACTTTGTTATTCAGTTTTAATAGACATTCTATACATTCCTATTGTTTTCAATACATTCGTATTGTTTTTAATAGAGAATCAATACAGGGCCATGGTCCAACTATTGCGGAACCCTGCATTCCTTATTGTGGGGGGGGGGGGGGGCCCCACCAATTAAACAGAAGCTCGGATTAGAGGGTTTGGGGATCTTCTAGAAAACTGTCATATATCATTTGCTTCCGTGCTCGTATTATGAGGGGCTGGTGTTTGTCATAGAGGTTTGTCGTATGTCCCGCCGCTTTCTGTTCCTGCGATGTGGTAGGGGCCTAAAGAGGTTTGTCGTGTGCCCCCTCCCTTCGTCCCTTTGAGTTGCAAGGATTTTGTTGGACCTGGAAGATTGATCGTATGTCTCCTTTGTAGGGCGTGGGGAGCGTCTAGATGATTATCATATATGATTTGCTTCCGTGCTCGTATTATGAGGGGCTAGTGACTGCCCTAGAGGTTTGTTTTATGTCTCCCTGCTTCGTGTTCATGTGATTTGCTAGGGTCCTGGAGATTTGTCGTATGTCATTTTACCATATACGAAATTAGATACAATCCCTTCGTCCCTTCGTGTTGTAAGGGTTTCGTGAGGGTCCTAGAGGTTTGTCGTATGTGCCCTTCCTTCGTCCCTTCTTGTTGTAAGGGTTTTGTGAGGGCCCTGCAAATTTGCCGTATGTCCCCTTTCTTCGTGCTTGTAGGATTTGGGCAGCGTCTAGATGATTGTCATTATCATTTGCTTCCGTGCTCGTACTATGAGGCGCTAGTAACTGCCCTAGACCTTCAGGGCCCTCACAAAACCCTTACAACACGAAGGGACGAAGGGAGACGACATACGACAAACCTCTATCATCTAGATGCTCCCCAAACCCTACAAGCAAGAAGAAAGGGGACATACGACCAACCTCCAGGGCCCTCACAGAACCCTTACAATAGGAAGGAATGAAGGGAGGCGACACACTACGAACCTTTAGGCCCCTACCAAATCACAGGATCACGAAGCGGGGGCGTCATCTGACAAACCTCCAGGCCAATCACTAGCCCCTCATAATACGAGCACGGAAGCACATGATATGTGATTATCATCTACACACTCCCCAGACCCTACAAGCACGAACAAAGGGGACATACGACAAACCTCCAGGACCCTCCCAAAACCCTTACAACACGAAGGGACGAAGGGAGGGGACACACGACAAACCTTTAGCCCCCTACCAAATCACAGGAACACGAAGCGGGGGGACATACGACAAACCTCTAGGGCAGGCACTAGCCCTCATAATACGAGCACGGAAACACATCATATATGTTAATCATTTTGATGCTCCCCCAAAACCTATAAGAACGAGAAAGGGGAAGCACACAAACCTCCAAAGCCCTTACAAAACCCTTACAACACGAAGGGACGAAGGGAGGGGACATACGACAAACCTCTGGCCCCTACCAAGTCACAGGAAACACGAAGCGAGGGTGCTTGCCTAAGTCTGGCTGTTGGCCGGCTGGATCTACATTTACTGCTACTACTACTACTACTACTACTACTACTACTACTACTACTACTACTACTACTACTACTACTACTACTCCTACTACTCCTACTACTACTACCACTACTACTTTCAAGAAGTTTTGTAAATAGTAAACAAAGGGGCGTGCCAAATAGACCCTAAAGGTCCATGCCACATATATATATATATATATATACATATTCACATATATATATGTATATATATATATACATATACATATACATATACATATATATATAGATGTATTCCCAGCTCCGTGGCAAGGTACCCATAGACCAGGGGTTGAAGCAGAAGCCTCCAGGTAGGGTTTTACGCCTTAACTTACTTCCCCAACAGCTGAACTTTAAACTTTTCGGGCTTCCTTATTTAGTAGGAATAATAAAGTTTGACCTTTTTTCCCCTTGGCTATTGGAGAAGTAAGTTAAGGCCTAAGCCCCCAACACCCTCAACTCTAAACCCTAAACCGCCTACACACCTCAACCCTTAGCCCTAAACCCCCCTAAACCCTCCTAAACCCCCCTAAACCCCCCTAAACCCCCCTAAACCCCCTAAACCCCCCAAACCCCCTAAACCCCCTAAGCCCCCAACCCCAAACCCCAAACCCTTAAACCCTAAGCCCTAAACCCTAAACCCTTAACCCTTAAACCCTAAACCGCCTAAACCCTAAACCCAACCTCACAGCTTGAACCTCTGCGAGTCACGGAGGTGTCGGGGGCCTCGGTATCGAGGCAAATCCAGGTGACGTCTTGAGGCCCCGCTGTGCACACAGCAGGGTTTAGGGTTTGGGGTTTAGGGTTTAGGTTTAGGGTTTAGGGTTTGGGGTTTAGGGTTTAGGGTTTAGGGCTTAGGGCTTAGGGTTTAGGGTTTAGGGTTTAGGGTTTAGCGTTTAGGGTTTGAACACAGCAGGGTGCAGTGCAGGGTTTCTTACTTAGCCAAGAGATGACTTTTAAACTTTTTCGTTATTGTGTAGGAATAACAAATTTTAACCTTTCTATTCCGCGGTTCTTGGTGCAGTGCAGGGTTTAGGGCTCAGGGTTTAAATGGCTGAAGGAGGGTTTAGTTTACAGGGTTCATAGGGTTTGTAGGGGTTGTATGGTTATAGGGTTTGGAGGTTTTGGGGTGTAGAGCCCACATGATGCCTCTGGACATCTTCACAACTACAATGGTTTAACATCACGTCATGTAAACCTTGCAGAGTTCACGGATGACCGCTTGGAATTTCGGGCACGAAGAACACGAAACCCTGATACCCTGCCTCCTTGATATCCTGAAACCCTAAAACTTCAACCCTAAACCGTGCCAGAGGGACTATGAGTTGTTTGTTGGTTGTGCCGGGTTAGGACCGCTAGGTTCGCTGAGACCAATCCGGATCTCTGAATGTAGGAGATTGGGTCTCTGGTTGCAGGTTCCTAAACCGCGGAGGGTCTGGGGTTTTGGGTATAGCAACCCCTAAAACCCCACAACCCTAAACCCTAAACCCTAAACCCCTAAACCCTAAACCCCAAACCCTAAACCCCAAACCCTAAACCCTAAACCCTAAACCCTACAAGCTCCAGAGCCCCTCGAGGCCCTAAACCTACCTTGGAAGCTCACAGCGGCGTCCACACCAGGGCCCGAGAAAATCGCCCCCCTCGGTTTCGTGTGGAGCAGGCTTGGTTTTGCGGGGCTTCGGGTTTAGGGTTTAGGGTTTAGGGTTTAGGGTTTAGGGTTTAGGGTTTAGGGGGTAAACCCTAAACCCTAAGTCCTAAACTGGGACCCAGAGTAGGCCCTGATTCCGACGGTCCCTTTTCAGCCCGTTCAAACCCCAAAGTGGCACCCGACTTTTTGTTCCTAGGAGTTCTCATTGGGTCTAGTAACCCTAAACCCTAAACCGGATTTCTGCAGAAGGAACACTAAGTAAAGAGGTATTGACCCTCGAGCGGCCTTGAAACAGTGTTGAGCCTAGGTAGGGTTGAGCCTGCTTCATTTTTAAGGGCTTCGGCGATTTAGTTTGTGTGTGTTTTTCGGGGGGGGGGGGGGGGTTAGCTTTAGGGGTTATGGGATGCAGGGCTTTCCGGGGTTGTGGTTTACGGGTTTACGTTTGCAGAGCATTCCGAAATTTCCTAAACCAGGGGAGGGTCGAACCTTGAGCCCCTAAACTCTTGTTAAGATTTGGGGTTTAGGGCTAGGGTTTAGGGTTTAGGGTTTAGGGCTTCGGGGTTTGCAGCTCTGGGATCATGCAAGGGAGAGTCAATTGTGCGCCTGAAACCCAGACCCTAAACCCTAAACCCTAAACCCTGAGACCTCAAGGTGGGCCCTGAAAACCCTAGACCCTACACCCTAGACCCTGAACTTGGGATGTTTCCCCCTTGTACTCACAGTCCTTAGTAGGTAAGTACCTTAACTCTCATTCTGATTACGGACTATGAGAGAAAGGGGGAACATCCCAA